GTGTGTGTGTGTGTGTGTGTGTGTGTGTGTGTGTGTGTGTGTGTCCCAGCTATTTAGCAGTGAGGGATTGTCCCCACAGGAAACCCCCTCTTACCAAGGGCTGAGACCTCAAAGCCCAGGATTGGGGCAGGGGTCCTGAGCCTGTGTAGGTGGGACCATGTGGCCCAGAGGATAACTGTTTAACCCTGTCTCCAGGGCTGAGAGGACAGTGGCCTGAACCCTAGTTCTCCACCATCTGCAGGGGGCCCTTCAGCCTCAGCTTGCCCCTCTGAACACTGGGGGTGATGCTCCCCAGGGGCCATGTGCCCCCCCCTTGGAAGCATCTCCAGCTACCCACACCTGCCCTGGAGGCCTGTGGAACCCCAACCCTGGCCCCTCCCCCAAGCTGGGCCTTGAATGCACTCTGCCCCTCCCCCACTGGTCCAGGACACTCAGTGGGTGGGGCCACCAAGTTTGCAGGTGAAGATCAGGCATGTGTTGTGGGGGGAGAGGGGGTGGAAGCTCTAGGCCTTGTTGCTGCCCTGTCCATGGTCAGGTCCCCAAGCTGGGCAGGAGGGGGGAAAGTGGTACTGATCCAAGAGGCAGGGTGGGGGGGTCCCCTCAGGACTGTGTCAGGAAGCCATCTGGAAGGCACGGAGCTGTGGTGTCAGGAAGATTAGGGGCACTGAGCAGGCCCGGCTCCCCTCCTACCTCCCCCAAACAATCTGCTCACCCAGCCAAGTTCCATCAGGCAAATTGAGAACAGCTTGGCAGCCTGAGCCAAGGGAGGGGGCCACTGAGCACCCCAGGCTGTACCCTCACATACACACCTGGGCCCTGTCTGAGCGCCTTTCCCCAGGGCAGCCACCCTTGACCTCCTGAACCACAAGTCTGCCTCCACCACACTCTAGTTCATGAGGGACCGCCAGGCAGCACTGCCCACCCCCACTGCACTGGACCCACTGTTGTCTGTCAGTCTGCCCCCATCTGCCATCACCAGGGCTCATGCAGATCAAAGAGGTGGTTCTGGCCAGCAGGGCCCTCCCAAGTGAGGTCATTGGAGGCAGTGGGCTATAGCCAAGTGACCTGGGTGGTCCCTGTGTCCCTGGAAGACAGTGCTCACACAGGGCCATCAGGTTCTCAGGGTCCACATCGCTGCCTCCACCTGCCCACAGGGCCAACCGCCATCTCTCAGGCCCCCCTGCCCCTGCCCAGATGCCAACAGCCAGAAGCTAGCATGGGCAGGGGACCTTTGAGGTGTGCCCCCAGGTGTGGCCAGCCTGCCCACAGCCCCTCCCAGCTCTGCCAGTGACCTCAGGCAGACACACCTTCCCAATCAGCTGAAGACAATTAATTACCTAATTTGCTTCCTCCTTTAATTAACTGATTAGTGAGGCAAGGAATTAATTAAGGCTCAGCTTCAGTGACTGGAGCCTGGCCTGGGGCTGGGGTGGGGTCTGCCTGGAGGCTGTGGTCAGTGCTCAGGAGCACACACACACACACACACACACAGACACACACACACACACACACGCACACTTGCACATTCACAGGACCACCCATCATGCAGGCAGGGTCTCGTCCCCCCAGGGGTGAAACCCGAACCCCATCGGTTCTCACAAGGTCACCAGAGATGATCCCTGAGGTCAGCTGCTCGTCCCAGCCACCCTGTGGCTCAGCCACTGACCTCCTCCGAATGCCCCTTCCAGCCCGCCTTGGACCCAGGGTCCTGCCCGGCACTCTTCCCTAGCTCCTGCCCCAGGCTCCAGGTTGCCATCAGGGTGCGTCCAGGTTCCCTGTCCCCCATGGCTGCCAGACCATGGGCAAGAGGCCCCTCCTTGTCTTCTGTCCCCACCTGCCGGAAGTTCCCGCCGGCTTGGCCCTCCACAGCCTCACGCTGAGAGCTGCTCCTGCGCACCCAGAGCTGACCCAGCCACCCGATGCCAGGAACACCCCACCCACGTGCCCACCCCAGCCGGACTGGAAGGGAGGGCCCCTCTTCTTCCCCAAGGATGCTGTCAAGCAACAAGCACTGCCCCAAGGTGGTGGTCGGGGGTAGGTGCAGGGGGACGGTGTTCAGAGGCTGTGGGGGCTGCTGGAGGGGACCCTGGCCCTTTCATGCCTTGCTCCCCAGTGAGCTAGCCAGGGAGGATCCCCGAGGCCCAGCCCCCCAGCCCCCTGAGTACCCAGGCTCCCAGACAGAGGACAGCCCTGGAGAGAGTATAGACAGGGAGGGGAAATGAAGCAGCTGGTAGGGTCATCATGAGGAGCCCTGGTGGCACTGCTGGTTAAGCACTGCACCCA